ATTCTTTCATTTTTATTTATTCAATTTTCTTATCAATAATTGAACTATCACTATTTGTTCAATGTTGATTTAATATGTAACAGCCAGGAATTTGGAATTCGTTGGGGTACAAAAACAAATCCAAAGCCACACCTTACGATGCTGGTTAGGTGAGATGAATAAAGCTTCAGCGTAAGATTCGAGTCTCTGAATAACAACAATTTTAGTGATTTCAAACTTATGTTAACGCATTTACAAAAAATAAATAAATAAAATAAAAATAAAAAACTTATGTTAAAGCTCTATACATTCAAATGCTTAAACTCTTCAATTTACTCCAAAATATTGCGCAGACATTTGGGTTATACTCAAACTGATTGTGCATAATCATGATTTGAATTACAGAACTAGTTTTTTTATTATAACTCAGGTAATAATAAGCTGTGGGGGAGCATCAGAATAGAAGTTATATACGTGTAATTTCCACATAAAAAAAAAAAAAAAAAAAAAACGCTAGAGGGAAGTCATCTTAAATTTGTTCAGATTGTAAATATTTTATCGACTATTCCTTATTTCAATCGTATTTTGCTGTAGTAGAAGAATCTCATCCAAAGCTTACAGTTCTGCTGTTTAGGCTAAGGGTGCGTAATAGAGCTTGTTTTTCTTAATTAGAGAATTTAAGTTAGAGTTTTGAGTTTTGAGTTCGAGAGAAAATGATTTTAGAAAAGCAAATCCGACAATTCGAAACAAATTAATTGAATAATTGATGAATCAATCAATATAAAAAAAAAAATAAAAAAAAATAAGGGGGCTGATATGGGGTGATGAACATTATGATCACAAACCATAAAGTAAACTATTGTGAGAATTAATCGAGCATAAAAGACCATCAAGATACACAGTTGAGGAAGGCTATCATGACGTTTTCATTCATGGGGGGAAGAATTGGGACAGTGTGGTCCTTGCAATTTTGTTGGGAGTAATGCGACAAGAAAGTGCTTCTTTCGCAATACCACTAACTCTGAAATCAAATCTATTGCGGATGTACATGCACCTCGGAGTACAAACAGAGAACCGAAAGTGAGTCCAGTGAAATTAGGCACAACACATTCGTCTCCAATTTCATCAAGGTGTAGTAACAAAGAAACTAACCCAATGGGTGCATGCTCAGGTAATGGAGTTGGATATGTGTTCGATTTTCGCTGAATGCATTCTTGGGGAGGGGGCTGAACCTTTAGCCATCACTGTTTCCCCGCACTCCGGATTAGTCTCATAGGCGGCTCAAAGAGTCGAAGCTCGTGGGGATACCGAGAGGAGTCAACTTGTCTCAAAGATTAAGGTTGGATAACTTCAAAAAAAAAACACGGGATGATTTGATCTGGTAATCACCTTCATCTCATGTTTGTGTGGGGGCCACGGGTATGAACGGTGTGGATCCCACACGCGGAGCTTTCTTGAAACACACGTGTGCAGATTGAGGACAGCAAAGCTAGCTGTATCCAGACTTTCAAACAGCAACTCGTCAGCTTCTTGGGACTTGAACTTTTCAACCCTCGATCCTGACAATAAATTATTATTTATTAAAAAAGAAATTAAGTGAGGTTATTTACAAAATAAAAAAAACAAATAAGAAAAAATATATTTGCGATTAATTTAATTTTAAATTTATTCAATTTTTGCTTATTGTCTATTAAAGAAGGCGACCCAAAAGAGCTTCAAGGGATAGGTTAATCCATGCTTTAGCCGTTATATATTATAAACAAATTCTTAATGTGAGTTAAATTGAAGAGGTGGAGACAAGAGAGTAGAAGTTAATGTTTGTGTTTGCTGGCACAAGTGACTCGATTATATATCTCAAATTTATTCCTCTACATAATTTACACGCACTTTAGTAAAGTACGTATGACTGTATGAGACAAGAACCAGTGAATGGCTTTTTCTTTTTAATAACCAATTTATTCCATGTGTATTAAAAAAAATAGCTTCTTTTTTTATTACAAAAAAGTACACATCATTAAAACAACGTGCGCATAATAATGTATCACGGATAACTTTGAAATGAGCATTTTTAATATGACTCGTACTTCACATATTTATTATAAATTTTGTTGACAAAATTAGTAAAAAATTAATCAGAATTCAGCTCTTTTTTTTTTTAGTAATTTAAATTTGAGTCTATAAATAACTATTATTAGAATTTTTTAAATCGTATTTATATTTTTGGGACAAATATACTACAAACAAATTAAACATAACGTAGGTAAATAAATCAGGATATATTATAGTGTCGAATTTCTCATTTTTTTCTCTTTATTGTTAGCACCGCGCAGAATCTGAAATATGAGGAATGACCAGAATGAAGAATACTTCCAAAAAACCGTGGAAAGTGTCGTCACTTCACAATAAGCTCAGTCTTTTTCGTGTTTTTCTTACATTGGCCGATGGAGTCCGCTTCATCCAAATATTATCCAAGAACATTTGGACGATGAGAAATTTTTTGAATATTAAGAAAATATAATTATTAAGAAAATAATTGAAAAATGAGTTTGGTAAGAAAATATAAAAAAAATTGTTTGGTTAGACAAAATATTACCGGATAAATTGATTAAAGTTTTGTAAGTCTATGTTTGGTTGAACGTAAAATATCAATGAAAATGTGATATAAAATAACAAAAATAACTCTTTTTAAATTTTGAAAATTGACAAAAATAAATTTGGTAGAGATGTAATTATGTTATAAGGTTAGGTTAAAAAGGTATATGACACACATCTGTTACTTTCTTCTATCAATTTTCCCATCTAACTTACAAATACCACATTATAAGGTGGTGTTTGGTTAGGGGGTTTTTGGATTACCCCATGCAAATGAATCAAGGATTATGGGAAGCATGCGTTTGGTTGAAGGAGATTTTGCTCAATGCTCAGGAAAACACAATGCATATCATTCCACCGATTTTCCCATTTAGCTATGCATCGGCACTGTTTGAAAAGCAAAGGAGGGGGTGGTTTTTGGAAGAAACTCATCTATATCACATAGGCCCACAACATATCATCCCAAATATACCCTCTGGTAAGTCTTCATTCGCTCGCACTGCAACTTTCTAAGTTTGATGTCAGTGGATGCTTACAAGATACTGATTATGTGTCTTTCTAAGTTTGGAAAATGTGGAACATTGTTAAGATTAAACTTTTAGGTAAAGGATATTTATATTATATTTCTCTAGCAACTTCCTTAATTTTTATATTAGAGGGGTTGATAAAAAAAATAAACAAAAGGTAAACGTTGATTCAAAAAATTTTAAAAACAAGGATATTTTCGTAATTGTCACTTATTTCCCCATCTATATTTTACCTCATACCAAACATAGACTTTATAAATCTTACCTAATTTGCCCAGTAAATTTTTTTTCAACCAAACAACTTTTTTTACATTTTCCTACCAAACTCATTTTCCAACCATTTCCCTATCAATTACATTTCCCTAGAATTCAAAAAATTCTCCTCAACCAAACGCCCCCTAAGTGTTATTTTTTATCTTTTTTTATTGTCAAATTTTACTCACAATTGACGAAGGATGGGCAAATTAGTTTGCTTGTAAAATTTTTGAAAACCATGAACCAAACATGGTGAAGACAAAATGCCACTTAGTGATGTCTATCTATCTCATAGAAATACTCCAACCAAACGCACCCTTACAAATCACATCCCTGCTGAATCTTGCTGCTGCTCCCTTTCCTCTCCTTGAATTGCAAAGAGGACGTGAACAATGACATCAACAAGAATCTTTTATAATGTCATGTCCAATATCGCAGTAGCAATGGTCCCAGCTCTTAACGAGATATTTTTTTTAACCTAGAAAAAAAAATTGAGAATTTGGTAAAAAAAATTTATCCCGGAGTTACGAAAAAGTATTTGGTTGACCAAAATTTTGTCAAAAAAATTATGTTCATTTTACTGATACTATATTTGATTGATGATAAAATATTGATGGAATAATTATTTGACTCAACATATTATATTCAGAATCTAAGACACTAAATAAAAAAAAATACCAAAGAATCAATGGAATAATTATTTGCCTTTATGTAGTTGAAAAAAAAAATATCTGAGAAAATTATTTACTGATATTTTTTTCGCAATACCCATACCAAACATGATCATTAAATATTCCCCACGTCACTTCTCCATCATTTCATACCAAATACACATACCAAACACCCCATCATTCCATACCAAATATTATAAGAGGGCGTTTGGTTCAGGAAATTTTTTTGGAATAGTAAGGAAATGAGATATATAGAGAAATGATTGAAAAGATAAATAAAGTGAGATAAGTAGAAAAATGTAAAAAAAAATTGTTTGGTGGGGGAAAACTTTACTGAGAAAATTAGGTAACTTTATGAAATCAACAGTGCATTAAAAGTTAGATAACCAGTTTTTCGAAAAATCCCACCTTCAAATTGAGTTTCTAAACAGTGCGGATATCTATGTTTCTCATAAATCCAGACAAATTGGATAGATGGGTTTTTGGTGAAAAACGTTGAAACAAACATGGTGTTTCTAAAAGCCATACTTGAGAAAGATAAATATCCGCTGAAAAGTTCCCAACCAAATGTCACCTAAGGGTTTCTATTTTCTTATGTCACATGACATAACATCTCTCATGCTATAGAGACAACAAAGGATAAATCTCATCATTTGTTAAAAAAATAAAAAGAAAATAGCATATATTTTGATGCCTGACAACATGAGAAAACACTCTCCACGTGAGAAAATAATTTTTCATATTATAAAAGTCAAACTGATTTAAAAGAAATTAACTTAGCAGTTCGAACACCATTCATTACGTAAGATACTCTACATGACTCACTCACCAGAACTGATTTTTGGGCAGGATTCCATCATCCCAATTCCATTCTTTACTCAACTTACCTTTAAAAAGATTAAAAAAAAAAAGTATATACCATTTTGTGCTCTCAAAACTATTATTTATGTTCACTTACAATTTGTACATTTGAGATTTTTTTAGCTGTTCAAACTTCAAAAAATGACGTACAAGAGTGTAAATATTTCCTATTATGAGTACTACAACGTACATACACAACAGTCTACACATACCCATTTACAGAATGACCCGACCCTTGAGTGAAACCACAGCAGGAATCCAGTGGGTGCAGCTTGGGCTAGTTTTTGTCTTGGTTGAGCCTGTTCCAAAGCGACGAGCACTGCCTCCTGGCGAAGCCCACGCGCTTCTTTCCCAGGTCATACACGACTTCAAAGCCCTGCTGTTGATAATTCCCAAGTGTGGCCCCGGGTCCACCGCTTAACTCAGCCTCATCACCACCGTTCATCAGCATCAAACATCCCACTCTCCTCTTGCTTCTCACTCCATCACCACCGTCGAAAAACTCGTAGAAGTAATTCTTCCTAGGCAGCGCCACACTGGAATTCCCCCCTGAAAAACGCAGAGTCACCGCCGGCACTCTCGCAGCCACCACGCCGTCGAAGTAATAGCACGGCCCGAGTCCCGTTTTCTCCTCAACCCCACTCGCGCGCTCGTGAACTCGTCCAACTCGTCGGTCAAACTCGGCCACCACCGAGTCATAAAAACCCGCCGGCAACATCGTGAACGTCGTGCCGGAGTCCACAACCACGCCGCCGTCGCCTCTCCCGTTCACCCTCGTCAGCATCTCCGGCGAAGGAATTGTCCTTTTCCCAACAGAGATTCCGGCGAGCCCAACGCAGTAGAAATAAGGATGCTTCGGGTTTTCAAGCATAGGCGTGTAAACAAACTCAGCCATTTCACTACCGCCGCCACTACCAATCCTCTTCTCTTCGCCGTCGTAACGACCGAGAATAAGAGGACTGGGTCGGCGAACTCGTTCCGAGTCGAACGAGTGAGAAACCAAACAGTAAGAGAAGCGGTTTCCCAGTTGGGGAGAAAGGGTAGCTAGCTGAGCAGGGAGAGAGAGTAAACCGCGACCAAACCCAGCGACTCCGGTGGGTTCGGCGAGGGTGGTGTGAGCACAGCCAAAGGTGAAGTTTTTGAGAAGAAGAGAAGAGAGAGAAAGGGTATCTCGATAGAGGCGAGCGATTAAGCTTCCATCACCATAAGCATAGTAAAAGGGTGGACACGAGGAAGAAGCACAATCAGAGATTTCAATTGATTCGAGGGGGCAATGAGCCATTGCGCAGAGATCAGAGGAAGAGATGGAGTTGTGTGCTGCGGAGCATGCAGGGGACTTGCATGAAACGGCGACGCTTTGGGATATGTTTGTTGGTTTAGTGAAAGTAGAAGAAGGGTTGGACTTACCTTCGCAGAGTATGCATTCAAAAGGGGCACATGGGAACCAAACTAGGTCGCTTCCTGTGTCCATGTAGAGAGTTATGGGTTCTGTATTTGAGGCTAGGTTGATTGAGAGCGTGTAGTCGCTGCCTGGTGAGAGTGGCAGAGAGAGCTGTCGTTGGCGGTGGTGGTGGCGTTGGTGGCGGAAGCGAGCTGCTGAATGGGTGGAGGTGGATTTGAGGAGGTGGTGGGTACTGTTGAATTGCGTTTGGGAAAGAGAGTGTGTTAGAGGCAGTAGTACCATTTGTGATGATGGATGTGAAATCAAGAGCATCATGAACAAGAGCAATAACAGGGGAGAAGCCATTTATTTTTTGGAGCATTCAAGGGGGGTCGAAAACAGAGTAATGGGTTTGGAGGTTAGAAGAAGAGAGTTGAGAGATTGAAGGGAATAATGAAGTGAGGTTGAAAGAAAGAGAGTGAATTTATATTGGGGAATGGGAGTGAGATTGAAGCAAAGAGTACGAAATTTCCAGTGGGTGATTTGGTACCATGGTTGGCGCATCTTAGGATAACGTTATTGTCTCCAATCAGAAGATTACCTATTCAATATTTGTTCCAATTCGGTCATGACTTATGATATAATTAGCAAGGGGAACTGTTTGTTAATTTAAATTATATAATTTTGTATTATTTTTAATGAAATTATATTGTTTTAATATATTTTTATTTTTATTTTTTATATTTTCTCTTTTTTATAAACTTTGGAAGAAAAAAAATGAAGGACAGAAAATACAATCATATACTAAAATGACATAATTTCATTAAAAATGTCACAAAATTATGTTATTTAAAATAATAAATAATTTTCCAAATTAATAATTAAGTTAGGATTGGGATAACTTTGAGATTAAGATAAAATATATAAATTTAAAAAATATTATTGAAAGAATTCAATATTTTAATAGTAAGTTATAAATTAATAAATAATTAAGACAATAAAATATAATATTTTAGAGAGTTGTCTTTTGTGCCATATAATTGTTATAATACGTACTTGATAACGTTTAAAAGTATTTTGTGAAGTATTTATAACATTATAAATGGAAAAACATCATCTTCTATTGCAGGAAAATATATTACAATTCCATAGAAACTTGTGCCATTTATTTTTGTTTTTGAAAAAAAAAAAATGGGGCCCATGCATTATGTATTTACAGGAATTATTGATTATCATCTGCAACGTAGGAAAATTAATGCCCTTAATAAATTAATAAAATATTTGCACAAAAATAAAACATATGTTAAGTGCAACCCAAGATGTGTTTTGACTTTTAGCGAAAAAACATCACAAAGCTTAGTATCTACCAATATATAAGCACGCAAATTAGTCGGCAAAAACACTCATATAAGAACCTTTCTTAAAAATTATATCCAGATAAAACACATTCGATTAGTTTTTTTGAAGTAAGGCAGTCATTGGTATAGGTGGACTCGACGAGATCAGTCCGTCAAGGTTCCCTATAGTACTAATGGCATCAATCAGTCAAGGTTGGTACTACGAGGCGTTTGATAGAAGAGAAATTTTTTTTTACTAGAAAAATGGTACGAGTCAATTTGATGGAAAAGTTTTAAAAAGATGTTTGGTTGATCGTAACATTACCGGAGAAATTTATTTAAATTTGCAAAGTCTATGTTCGGGAGGAACTTCGCACCTGTTTTTCCACTTCTCCAGTTATCTCAAAATATCACATCTCAAGTGGTATTTTGTAACAGCGAATTTCATCCAAAGTTCAACACCAAAGTCGTTTCTCAGCCATTCTATTTGCCTAGTATTTTTTTTCAAAAACGTGAACCAAACGTGTTATTTTCCAATACCCACTCACACTTCCCCATCAAATCCAAAATAAAACTTCTACCAAACATACCCTAGTTGCCTTTACCTTTCTCCTCTGTAACAGAGTTCTTAACAGATTAGAGAAAGGACAGAGAAAGGAGAGCAAGAAAGAGAAGAGAGATTTCTGAATATTCCATATCCCTTTTTACTAAGCATGTGGCCTACTTATATTCGTTCTTACAATCCTCCAATAATACTGACAATAACCATAAAGCAACATGGACTACTAATGATACTAATGCAACCTGACTAGATCGTAGTACTAAGACTAGCCCATAACATAGTCTCGATAAAGGGCTGGCTTCCTCCTAAGATGTTTGTGGGCTGATGGGCTGGAGCCCATAACATCACCCATTTCTGCAAGTGTGGGCTTGTCCTCAAGACCAGCTGTTGTAGGGTTCATCTGTATTGGCGAGTTGACTGATTGCATAGCTGTCCTTGGAGTGACGTCCTTGGTTGCTAGAATGGTAGAAAGTAGTGGTTGAGATGTTGCCGACATTGGAAACGACTTGCAAAGGGTTGGATGAGTGACTAGCGTGGAAGACAGCTGGAGATCACTCAATGAGCTGGACAGCTTGGATGATGCTGACACTGATGAATGAATCTGATCCGTCGATTCAGTGAGGTGTGAAGTAAAAGTGACTGAAGAGTTGTTGTGGTTTGAACCCAAGTCAGTCCCTTCGAAGCCCTCAACTTTCTCCTCTTCATCTCTATCTCTGGTCTCCCTTGCTGTTGTCGTGTCTTGTAACTCTGTCACCGCCTTTCCCGCATCCTCTAGAACACAAATGGTCTTCCTTTTCTCTTTTTCACCTTTCTTTCTGTTAAAAAATGATTCTTGCCGACGATGTGTTGAGTTAATGACCCCCACTTATGGAGTATCCTCTGTAAGGAACTCACGCTCCTTGAGGTCAGTTGCCGCGTTGGCTAGAACCATATCCTTGTCCTCCCAAGTGGAGTCCTCTAGGGGAAGGCTTGTCCACTGAACCAGCACCTGAGGAACGAGCTCTCCACGTCGCCAAATAGAACGAGCACCAACCAGTGCACACGGTGTGTGTTGCAAAGGCGGATCCGAGTTTGTGAGGGGCAAAGGATGAACCTTGAACGGTTGTCCAATGTAAGAACCTGCACCGTTAATTAAGGTATTTAATTAATTAATTATGCGAAATTAGGAAATGATTCCATAATTGACTCTAATAATTATTATGAGGCTTTAATAATTATAGTAAGTGAGTAATAATGCTGAAAGTCGCTTTTCGGAAGAAAAGTGCAGATACTGGTTCTGCTAGTCGGTATAAATGCGTACCGAAAAAGTATCCCGGAAAATTATAATAAGTGCATGTTAATTACTAGAACAATATGTAGGACTTGTGAAACGAGTTTCAAGTCCAGATAATGAGAACTGGTGCTAGAAACCGGTACTGGCTTGGAAAAGCGCGTACCGGAAAGGTGCTCAGAAAATTATAAGAAAAATATGATAAATCTTAGAAAATTATTTAGTTTCATAATCCAAAGTTTGGGATTAAAATGCTAAGCGTAGCAATTAAAGTTAATACTGTGTGTTTAAGAGCGTTTGGGCTATAAATACCCTTTTAAGGGCACATAACCCTAGAAAACTGCCTCTATGCGTGAGTGTCTTGTGGTGGCTGATCAGTTTTACTCTGTGTTGGTGCTCTCTTCCCTTGTCTGAGCCTTGTGACCTTCTACCTCCATGTTACCTCTTCCTAAACACTTGGGCTTGAGGGTGTGAGTCTTGTGAGCAGAAAAGAGTCATATTTCTGAGTTTATGAGTTGCTGTTTGTGAGGTTCTTGCTCTGAGTTGGAGAGTTTGGAGGGGAGTCATCTTGTTCTTGGTAGTTTAGAGCTCCAAGTAGCTTCCTTGGTGAGGAAATGACTCATCTTGTTGGTCCATTTCGTGCACCTTGTTGAGTCAGTCTTGAGGGGCTGATTGTGAGCTCCAAAGAGCAACCTCTTCTTCTGTTTTGAGCTGGGGTATGTGTACCAACCTTTGATCATGAGTTTAATGCTTAAAAATGAAAGCTTGATGCATGTTAAGGCTTAAAGATGATAACTTGTTGTTGAGTAATGTTGAACACACCTAGAAATGCATGTTTAGGTGCTTTAAATCGGTAAAAACCCAACCTTGGAAGGATATCTTCACGAAATGCATTTTCTGCATTCTGTCGTGAAATATCCGGATATGTGGCCGATGAGTATCCGGATATGTGATATCTGGATATGGGTTTTGAGTATCCGGATAATAGATATCCGGATATGGGATTCAGGATATCCGGATATTGCATATCCGGATATGTCCAGTGAGATATCCGGATATTGAATATCCGGATATGGTCTCGAGGAATATCCGGATATTCTAGGATTTCGTGGACCCTAGATTAATGAAGTTGAACTTCTGTAATTAATGAACTAAGTCAGAATCGTTGTGATTAAGGACTTATGGCTTGGTATGGAGCCTTAGGACGTAAAACGTAAGGAGAGGCGTTGTCTTTAAGTTATATGCTTGTGTTGCATTATTATTGATATAGTATTGGTCCATAACAGATTGTGAATCTGCTGTGTTTGGACTTTGAGTTGTGGACTCTTGGCTTTTGGAGTTAGCTTGCAAGGTAAGCTTTCGTGTCCTCGGTTTAGCCATGTTGTGGTTCCACCATATCCCATGGGGGTATGGTTTATGCATGCTGTGTACATGCTTTTGGATATTTGATATGTTGATTGAACTTTACATGTAATGGCTTTTAATATGCATGTGTTGTTTCATCTTGACGGGAAGCCTGAGTATGTAACGCCATACAAGACGGAGTACCGGGGTGAATGCAAGTGGTACTTGCACGGTGTGTAGGTGATAGACGTATACCTGCACTGTCTCTGGCCAGTAGATTAGTATTGACACACATGACATGATTATCTGCTGCATTGCATGGTTTTAGAAATGATAAATGATAAACTGTTTTTGAACTTATATTGCACATGTAAGTGAGCTTGGAGTGGAAGATCCTTGAGGACTCACTGACTTACTGAGATTTCTAGATTAGAGATCTTACCCCACGTTTGGGGAATGCTTATTTCAGGATCAGGTAGTATGGGTACTGATGCCTCAGGCGGCAGGAGGCCGAAGCTTAGCTGATTATGTTTTACTGCTTATGTTAGCATGACTGGATTTGGATGCTGTTTATGTTTTTCGCTATTTATGATATGTTGTTGTTGAGACTGATGTTGGGCATGTTGCCTTATTTGAGTGAGCATGGGGATTGTCCATGACATTTTCTGTTAGTACTTGTAGTTTGGGCTGTATAAACTGTTAGATGGTCCGGTCTACGTTGTTGTAGTTCTGCGACTAGAGCTACACTTATATTATCTATGTTATGAGGTATTTCAGTTAGCTGTTTTATTGCAATTACATACAGGCGATGTTTTATTAATTGATTATTAAGCAAGTTGGTAATGTTAATGGCATCATAATTGAAAAGAAAAAGTAATTCCGCATTTTAATTAAGCGCAGCTTAATACGATATTATGATAACATTACC